CCCCCCCCCCCCCCCCGCCCCAGGAGGTGTGACTGCTCGCTCTGCATTCCCCTGCTCTGGTCAGCTAGTCCGCAATCTTCCCGCATTCGTTTGCTTTTTGGCCCTTGGTGGGAATATCAGTCCCCCACCAAATGCTCTGGTGGCCCAAGTTGCATTAATTATTTGGGGACAGAAAAAGTTGCAGTTTGAAATTGAACTGCCGGAGCCCTGAAGAGACTTGGTTTTTGGTGCTCTACAAAGTCTCTCTGACATTTATTGTCCAGCTTCCATCTCTGCGCTTCTCTTTATTTTTTTAAGTATATTTTTGTTGATTTCAGAGAGGAAGAGAGAGGGGAGAAAGAGAGAGACATCAATGATGAGAGAGAATCATGGATCGGCTGCCTCCTGCATGTCCCTTCTGGGGATCTAGCCTGTAACCCAGACACGTGCCCTTGGCCAGAATGGAACCCAGAACCCTTCAGTTCGCAGGCCAACGCTCTATCCACTGAGCCAAACCAGCGAGGATTGCCCTTCTCTTTAAATAAATATATGAGATGTTTCACTTTAACAAAGTAGGAAATAGTTCATTGATGTAAATTCTTTGCAGACTGATGGGTGCTTTAAATTAACTTTTAAAAATACATGAATATGTATGTATTGATTTCACAAAGAGGAAGGGAGAGGGAGAGAAACATCAGTGATGAGAGAGAATCGTTGACGTGCTGCCTCCTGCACATTCCCCACTGAGGATCCAGCCCACAACCCGGGGATGGAACCCTGACATCCTGGTTCATGGGTTGACATGCAACCACTGCCACACTGGCTGGGTTGAATTAACTTTTGATATAGGAGAGCTTCATATGTAAGTAGATTTAATAAAATACTTTGGAAAACAATGTACATTTTTGCATTGATAAATGAGATCATCTTGGAAAAAAATTGATACTTAAAAATTTTATTAGGTTCCCGTTGTGTTCTGTTATTTTCATGTATAAATGAGGACGATGCAGAGACCATTTTTATGAGCCACCCCCAAGGGGCAAAAGAGCCACATGTGCCCCGCGAGCCGCAGGTTGCCCACCACGGCTCTAGATGAAGAGATACTACTCCTCAGTGTTGCATACTTGTTTTTAATATGTCAACTTTTCTCCCCTCAACTTGGAAAGGTATTGAAATATACTTTATTTAAAACAGAACTGTAATAGGCAAAAGAATGTGTTGTTAGGAACAGCAAAGTATTAACAAAGATATTTGCTTGGATAAGACTGTCATTTTATTTTTGTTTGTGTGTCCATATACTCTAAAGCAGTGGTTCTCAACCTTCTGGCCCTTTAAATACAGTTCCTCATGTTGTGACCCAACCATAAAATTATTTTTGTTGCTACTTCATAACTGTAATGTTGCTACTGTTCTGAATCGTAATGTAAATATCTGATATGCAGGATCGTCTTAGGCGACCCCCGTGAAAGGGTCATTCTACCACGAAAGGGGTCGCGACCCACAGGTTGAGAACCACTGTACTAAAGTAAGATGAATCATTTCATTTTTAAGTTGAACACTTCTGGTTTTAGAAGACATTTCTCCAAAAATAGGCAATCAGCATTCTATGATATGGAGTAGAAATTATAAACATGGCTTCATTCTTTTTTGAGTCTCTGTATCTCAAAATACTAAAGAGTTTTAGATAGCCAGAAGAGAAATTACAAGCCCTGGGTGGCAAACTCTTTGTTCTTTGACCCAAATTTTATATGCTAAAATTAAAGTAAGCCTTCAGGATAAGCTAAAGCAGAAAAATGGGTCATAATGACAGTGTTATTTCAACCTCTAGTAGGACATCATTACTGGGAGAGATTTTTTAATATTAAAGGTTACATTGTAGTTTATACTATCTTTTCTCTAAACACATTTTAAAATATGCATTCATAGATTGACACATAAGTTTTAGTCTTCCATACAACTACCCTCTTTTTTTTTTAATATGTTTTTATTGATTTCAGAGAGAGAGATAGAAACTTCAATGATGAGAGAGAATCATTGATGGGCCTCCTGCAAGCCCCCTGCTGGGGATCAAGCCCGCAACACAGACATGTGCCCTTGACCGGAATGGAACCTGGGACCCTACAGTCTGCAGGCCGATGCTCTATCCACTGAGCAAACCAGCCAGGGCACAGCTATCCTCTTGCCGTCACCTCTGTCATTCTGTTTTTTCCCTTCGCCTCCCTTTACTCAAAAGGATATATATCATTCACTTAACTCGCATAGTTGGAAATAGGAGCAATGAGGAAAAAGCAGTTTATTGCACACGTGCTAAGATCTCCTGGGCCGATTTTAATGCCATAAAGACCAGGGGGTCTCTCTCATTCCCTTTCCCTGCATTCTTCCTTCCTTTTTCACAAATGTTGCTAGCTATTGGATAGAGAGAAAATCTGGAAACATATTTGGTTAAGATTCATGTATTTGCACATCCTTCATCCCACACAGGAATTGGAAATTCTTATATACTAGTGTGCCAAGAAGAGAGTTGGAGCCAGTCATTCTTTTCAAAAACAATGACTCCAAAGTCGAACCATTATCATGCCACAATTGCCGTTTAGAGACAGAAATATCACAGGCTCTGAAGTAAATTAGACCCATTTAGTTTAGAGTCTGAAATACTTTTCAAAAACAACAAAAAGGCAAATTAAAACAAGATCTTTTTATCTGATTATAGTGTAATTTATTGAAATTAAAATAAATGTGTATAATATAGAGAAGCATATTGCCAAAAAAAGTTCACCTATAATTCCACCACTACTAAATTCCAATATAATACAATATCCTATTAATATAATTAATATAATCCCACTATTATAGTTAGTTACTATATTAATGTGGTGCACCTACTTCCAGAGTGTTTCTCATACATAAATGTGTATTCTTGCACTCTCACACACACACTTTGTTTTAAAACAAACAGGATCATTTTTTCTATTTTGTGTCATGCACTTTGATGTCTTTAGTACTGGACTGCTTTGCTGTAACTGAGTTTAACAGTCATCTGTCTCCTTTCAAAAGCCCTAGTACTATTTAATTCCTCACAAGAACCCTGTGTGTTACCTTCATTTTACAAACAAGCACAGGGAGGTCAAGTAACTTGTTCATAGCCACATAACCAGTGAGTCATAGAGCCAGGATTCAAACCCAGGGAGCTTAGTTCCAGAGCCACACCAGTAAAGTGTCATTGCAGGTTCTCTTTTAGTTAGTTGACTAGAACTTTTTTTAAAAATACTGGTTTTAGCGCATTTTTTAATTGGGCTGTTTGTCGTGAAAGAGAGAAATTGATCGGTTTCCTCCCGTGCGCACCTGGACACAGAATTGAGCCTGCCACCTTTCGGTGTACAGGACGACACTCCAACTATCAAAGCCACATCAGCAAGGGCAGCTGACTATAACTTTTAAAACATAAACTCTTGGTTTTGTTTCAAAATCATGATCAACTTTCCCCCAAAAATAGTACAATGTAAATACAAATGTTTAAGCACCTGTATAAAATTGTAGATGATAGTCTCCACTTATGTTTTCATTATATTTTGTTTTGATACTCTTGGAATTACTGGCCTAGTTCTTTCTGCATGTTTGTTTTTGCAAATACATATATACACATCTCAGTGACAGAAAAATGAATTTTGAATTTACTTTCTTCAGGAGTTTAAGTATGAAAAAAATTATGCGTTTTTCTGAATAGGATGAAACGAGGAGGAAGCAATAGTGACCATAATTCATCAGAAGAAGATACTGCAGAGAAATCCAAGAAACTGAGGACTATAAATGAGCATTCTCAGACTTGTGATTGGGGTAATCTCCTTCAGGACATTATTCTCCAAGTATTTAAGTATTTGCCTCTCCTTGATCGGGCTCATGCTTCACAAGTTTGCCGCAACTGGAACCAGGTATTTCACATGCCTGACTTATGGAGGTGTTTTGAATTTGAACTGAATCAGCCAGCTACATCTTACTTGAAAGCTACACATCCAGAGCTGATCAAACAGATCATTAAAAGACATTCAAACCATCTGCAATATGTCAGCTTCAAGGTAATACTTTAAATCCTTCTTTTAAAAAAATAAAGCATATTTAGTGACCTTTGTGTCTTAAATCAATTCATCTTCTCATGTCTTTGAAATTGCGTTTCAGGGAAACTGCTTAAAGATTTAGAATTATCAGGTTCCTTAGAAGCTGTAGCAAATAATTATACTTGAGCTTAATTACTCCATTTTATTATAATTATTAATTTCTTAAAAGAGCAAAAGCATCCACTAAATAAGCATAAGTCATTGACCAAAGCTGTCAAACACATTATTGCAGACACTTTGAGGGAAAACAAATATACAGTAACATTTTTTAGATGTGGAGATTATAACTAACACTTAATTCTTGTTCCTACCTAATAGGGACTGAGTTTGCTTATTGATGGCTTTATGATATGGGGTCTTCAAAGAAAAAGGAGATACAGAGCTTTTATATAAAAGATTTAAAGCAATGGTTCTCAACTTTCCTAATGCCGCAACCCTTTAATACAGTTCCTCATGTTGTGGTGACCCCCAATTTCATTGTTACAAATTGAACATAATTAAAGCATAGTGATTAATCACAATAACAATATGTAATTATATATGTGTTTTCCGATGGTCTTAGGCGACCCCTGTGAAAGGGTCGTTCGACCCCCAAAGGGGTTGCGACCCACAGGTTGAGAACCGCTGATTTAAAGACTATATTTTAGAGAGGTATAGAAAAAGGTACACAGAAGAATGCCAGAAGAACTGTTTGGTTCTTTTCATTGCTGGAAGGGACATACTGAAATCATGCAGTAATGAGATAAACAAAGTGGGGTGGCTTTTTGAGATGTCTAGAATAATTTAAGGAATCACGGTGGTTTGTATAAGGTCAGATGTTTGTAATGTTTTGTTTGGGGGATGAATAATGGTATATGGGCATGCTTATTTACTAAATGAGTAACACTGGTAATTGTTGAAAAGTGACACCTGAATACCTGATTTAATTATATGTAGCAGTTATTAAACAGATAAAGGTAAACCTAGATAAAACAATGATTCTTACCCAGCGCTCCTTAACATACTTCATACTTATTCACTGGATGTCCTGTATGTTATCTGGCAACCCTAATTGAGGGAAAGCGTGGGAGAAGGTAGGAGGATCAAACAAACAAAAAGCTGGAAACTTCTCGTATGTTGTCTCTCCCCCGCTTCCTGGTTTAGAAAACTCAAGAGCCTTCCCTTTGGTCTCATTCATCTTTGAGTTGTCTAAGAATGTTCTAATGGTAAATTCTGTAAAAAAAAAAAATTAGTATAATATGTTAATCACATAGGTCAAAAGGTCAAGTCCATCCATTGAATTGGCTGGATCAGTGTTGATCTTTTACAGCCCTGTGATAATTCAGCTGCATCCAACTTGTATAATCCTCACAAAACTACTTGTCCTATAAGTTTAAACATTTTTATTTTATTGTTTATTTTGCTGAGGAAATAGTTTCTGACTTGCAAAAAGAGCCACATCACAGGATTTTTCTGACCTCCCCTGATAAAATTTGTATTTAATTCATTACTAACTTTGGTCCGTTGTTAGTGTAGAACAGGGGTTCTCCAACTTTAGGGGCAATCAGAACCACCAAGAGTGCTTGTTGCAATAAAGATTGCTGGCTCCACCTTCAAGGTTTCTGATTCCGGTGGTCTGGATTGACCATGAGAATTAACATTTCTAACAACTTTCCAGGGGATATTGATGCTGCTGTCCAGGGATCACACTTTGAGAACCACTGGTGTAGAGAAACTTAGCCAAAGGATATTATAAAAGGCTCTGAAACTTTAACATAAATCAGTACGACAGTTGTACAACCAGATCCTCAGAACATTTTGGGGTTAAGGTAATGTACATCAATCTGTAATTAAAGTAAACACAATACTTTATTCTTTTTAGCCCAAGGAGCAACTTCCTTTTTGGGGAAAAAAAACCCAAAAAACTCTTGAGTTTTTTGGACATGTTACCCTTCTACCTAGATATATCTATGCAGAAGAGTGCGTAGGAGCAGCTATTTTGTTTCACATTTTCATGCTTGACTGGTTGGAGTCCCTAATTTCACTTTGCATTCATTTTTTCAGTAATATCATTGACAGTGAATCCCCAGTTGTGATTTATTTGAACCTTCTGAGTAAATACTTCAGTTTCTTGTGTCTTGTAATATGGGTATTATACATAATGTTCTTATATGTATGATTGTACCCATTACCAAATATATAATTATTTTTCAAAGATAAATTTTATGCATTTCATTAGGTTATATAGTCAGTTTGGAATAAATAAACTCAAAGCCAAGTTCTTTCAACATTAAATATATATCTTTTCATAATGAAAGTTAAGTTTTGACAGTTGCTCTTATAATTTCTCAGGGTGACTCAGAAAAGTCCTATAAAAGAGACAAAGTAAAACTGAGAAACAAGTATATTAGAAAAAGAGGCATAGCCCTAGCTGGTTTGGCTCAGTGGATAGAGCATTGGCCTGCAGACTGACGGGTCCCAGGTGTGATTCCCGTCAAGGGCACATGCCTGTGTTGCAGGCTTGATCCCCAGTAGGGGACGTGCAGGAGGCAGCCGATCAATGATTCTCTCTCATCATTGATGTTTCTATCTCTCTCTCCCTCTCCTTTCCTCTCTGAAATCAATAAAAATATATTTAAAAAAATAAAAGAAAAGAAAAAGAGACGTATAGGTGTGCCTTTTTGGACATTTGGAGCAGATTGGTGAAATTAAAAATCAAAAGTGGACAGTGTCAGTATTGAAAGCAGGTATGCTTGCTTATAAACATCATCTGGTACTGTAAAGATGTATTCTTAAGCAAAGTTAGTGTCAGTACAGCTTGGTTGATTTACAGATTTTATTTAAAGAAAACTTTTTGGTGAAGAGTTAGGTTGATATATATTCATATTTACGTGAGGGTGGGTGATCAAAAGTATAAATTCTTTAAATTATGCAATAAACTAATAACTATTTTTTGCTTTTGTAAAGTTAAGAAATGCACAAAATAATGTAAATATACTGATGGGTAAATGGTGTTTTCTCTTCTAAGGTGGACAGCAGCAAAGAATCAGCCGAAGCAGCTTGTGATATATTATCACAACTTGTGAATTGCTCTTTAAAAACACTTGGACTTATTTCAACTGCTCGGCCAAGTTTTATGGATTTACCAAAGGTATCTTGCTGGAAAACTTTTATTAGCTGTTACTGAGAAATCATTGAAACCCTATCCATTTCTTATACTGACATTGGGAATGTAAGAAAAGTAGTAGTATAATAGAAAATCAGTTACTATGTAGAATGTTAACAGGATTTTTTAAAAAACTTTTCCTTTTTTTATGAGTAAGGTTGAATGAAGAGTGAATGAAGTTAGATTCTATAGTGTTAAAAGAGACTAAAACTGAGAAACAAGCATATTAGAAAAGAGACATATAGGGATCAGGCCTACGCTGGCAGTTGGACATCCCTCTCACAGTCCGGGACCCCTCCCTCCTTACCACCCTCTTGCACGCTCCTTACCGCTCTGCTTGCTGCTTCTTAGCCCTGCTGTGGAAGCAGGAGAGGCTCCCGCCATTGCTACTGTGCTCACCAGCAGTGAGCCCGGCTTCTTGCTGAGTAGCGCTCCCCTTGTGGGAGCGCACTGACTATGAGGGGGCAGCTCCTGCGTTGGGCATCTGCCCCCTGGTGGTCAGTGAGCATCATAGTGACCAGTCATTCTGCCATGAACAGTCACTTAGGCTTTTATTATATAGATGGGCCTCGGATGCTTGTACTGTTTTTCTTTTTTTCTTTTCCTATTAGGGCTTCTGTAGAGATTGAAATAAAGTGTTGCTATAGTTTGGAAATCTTGTGAGAACCAAAGAGAACATGAAAGAAGTCTATTTGATCAAAGCTAAATCTGAGGGAAATGGGAAAATGAAGGCAGTGATGCGGTTATGAGTATACTAATGAAGAAATGTGGTTGTATGAGATATAATTGAGTTTGATAGGAAAATATTAGCATTTAAATAGTAAAATAGTTAATCAAAATATAAATAGTAAACAGTTATTTAATTACAGTACAAAAAAGGAATGTGACTAAGAAGATAGTGTTTCATTGTCCATTTGACCCTTGAACAACATAGGGTTGGGAGGACCCACTCCTGAGCATTCTAAAATCTGGCCTTCAGCATGTTGGGATTTCCAGCTGTGGATCAAATATAATTGATCCACGAACAACCCCAGTTTAAGCTGCATGGATCCACTTACACGAAATTTGAGATTTTTCAGTTAAAAAAAAATCCACATATAAGTGGCCCTACACAGTTCAAACCCATCTTGTTCAAGGGTCAGCTGTACTTTGTGACTATTAGCCTGCCCTCTTCCCAGTTTACTGCTGAAGTAAATTTATAAAGCTAAAGGGAAGGTCAGATTGGCTCTGTGGAGAAATGTTTGACCAAGTATTGACCTCTCTTTCCCCTCCTGGATTCTTTATCCACTGGTTATGGCTTCTTAGTTTTTATTCAAACTCATATACTTTTACCATGCTTTTGTTTTAAACCTTTTTTAAGAATTCCTCACCCAAGGCTATGTTTTTATTGATTTTGAGAAAGAGAGGGAGAAAAAGAGAGAAACATTGATTAGTTGCCTCCTGTACTCACCCCAACTGGGATTGAACCCACAACCTAGTATGTGCCCTGACTGGGAATCAAACCCACAACCTTTTGGGTATGGGATGATGCTCCAACCGACTGAGCCACCCAGCCTTGACCATGCTTGAATTCCTGTATCCCTACAGTGGTTCCTTTAGGTCAGATTCTGTATCCGGCTGATAACTTAGTATCCTATATAATAAAAGGCCAGCCATGTAAGCGGATCAACCAGAGACCAGAACCACCACGGCCCCTCATTGGGCTGGCTCCGCTCCCAACAAGTGGTTAGGGGCAATCAGGTAGGCAGACGGCCCATCACAGGGCTGGCCTCGCCCCCCAGCAAGCAATTAGGGGTGATTAGGCCGACAGACTGGTTAGTAGCGATCGGGTAAGCAGGTCAGCGGTTAGGGGCAATGAGGCAGGCAGAGTGATTAGGGGCAATCAGGCCGCAGAGCAGAGTGGTTAGGGGCATCAGGCCAGCAGACAGAGGCGCTTATGGGAGATCAGGCTGGCAGGCACAGGCGGCTAGGGTCGATCAGGCTGGCCAGACAGGTGAGCAGTTAGGAGTCAGTGGTCCCAGATTGTGAGAGGGATATCCGACTGCCAGTTTAGTCTCGATCCCTGGGATCAGGCCTAAACTGGCTTTCAGACATCCCCCGAGGGGTCCCGGATTGGAGCGGGTGCAGGCTGGGCTTAGGGGTCTCCCCCACCCCCCATGCACGAATTTTGTGCACCGGGTCTCTAATCTATAATAATAAAAGTATAATATGCTAATTAGACTGGACAGCCAGACGTCCTTCTGGACAAAGCTACGGCAGCTGCGAGGGCCAAGGATAGGCAGCCATGGCGACTGGCAGTGGCAGCAGTGGTGGGGTAATGGGGGCGGTGCCTTCCCCTGATTGGCCTGGTCGCCTCCCGCAGAGTAAGACATCCCCTGAGGGCTCCCAGACTAAGAGGAGGCAGGCCGGGCTGAGGGACCCTTCTCCAGTGCATGAATTTTCGTACACCAGGCCTCTAGTTATAGATAATTTAACATATTTAAAGGCATTGTAAATTTGGAATTTTATTTAGGTCTGATTTTTATTATTTTATAGTCAAATTTTATATAAGCTTTCATATTCCAAATGAGTCTTTCCTAGGTTGTGAGTTGATTCTTATTTTAATTTTTAATGATTATGCTAATAGTTACTACTGTTTTAACGGTCATTACTATCAAACCAAACAATAATGCAATTTAATTGTTATAAAACACGAGAGTAGGGTTTCAGATAAGGTGATGTGAAATGTCTGAGAGGTATTATCAACCTGAATTCCAGAATTCCTGTTTTTCCTTACCAATAATTGTGATATAAACACTCATCCTGAGGCTTGAAGTCTTTTTTTTTCTCCCAAAGGTAAAAAGGTGCTTCACCAGAGTGAAGGGGATGCTAAAGTAGTTATGAAATAATATCATTAGGGTTCAAATGAACCATATGTATATTATGACAACTCCCTCAATTCGCATTTGTAGAATTGAAACAGTGTTCTTTCTTTTTTTCTTTTTTTTTTGCTTTCCAGTCTCACTTTATTTCTGCACTGACGGTAGTGTTTGTGAACTCCAAATCCTTATCCTCGCTTAAGATAGATGATACCCCAGTAGATGATCCCTCCCTCAAAGTACTGGTGGCCAACAACAGTGATACGCTCAAGCTGCTAAAAATGAGCAGCTGTCCTCACGTGTCCCCAGCAGGTATGTTTTGTTTTTGCCCGATAACATTTTAAATGTATTGATATTTTTATCAAATTAAGAAAAACTATGATCTCTAATCTTGAAGGTGATTAATGTGATTATTTCATCTCTTTTACAAAAGTGTTCTTTTTAAAATATATATATATATATATTGATTTAAGAGAGGAAGGGAGAGGGAGAGAGATAGAAACATCAATGATGAGAGAGAATCATTGATCCGCTGCCTCCTGCAT